GGAAAAGGAAGGCCAAAATCTCCAAGTTCAATTTGAGAATATCCATCTACAGATAATCTTTCTAAGGAAATCCTTAGCTTCTAGCGCATCAACACCTCCGGCGCCGCGTAATACGGGGTCCCGACCACTGCCGACATCCGGCCGCCGTCTCATCCTCGGAACCACTCCACCGACCCGAAGTCGGCGAGTTTGAGGTTCCTCTGCGCGTCGAACAACACGCGTTGTCGGACTTCACGTCTCGGTGCGCGACACCGGCGCGGTGGCAGAAGCTGATCGCGGACATTAGCTGCTGGAAAACTACGGCGGCTACGGGCTCCTACAGCCGCCACTGCAATACCCTCACGTAGAGGTCGCCGCCGTCGCAGAGCTCGATGACTTTGAAGAAGTTTGGAAAATTTTTAGCATTAGGTTTTGTTAAGCTATTTTGCTCAGCAGTTGAAATTTTGAGATTTGGGTTTAGGGTGTTGAAGAAGTTTGGGTTTGGGTTTAGGGTGTTGAAATTTCAGGCCATGGACGAGGGGGTTTGTTGCCTCCGTCAGGGAGCTTCGTCATCGTACACCTTGAACAGCCGGAGGATGTTGGCAGTGCCGGTGAAGAGTTGGTGTCACGTGAAATTCCATCAATACCCTCTAATTTAACAGACTTCTAATACCTGACCTAACGGAGGACCAAAATGGTTAACATTTTTAAAGTCGAAGGACTTAATTGGACACTAAAATTGTCGATGACCAAATTGGTAATTTCATAATAGTCGATGGATCATTTTGGTAATAAACTCTAAATAGAAATGTAGAATTGGACAATGGGAAAAATAAAATGAAAAGATGGAGTGGAAAAAGTCAAAAGGTTGCTTGGTAAATAGCGGTTAACTGATTGGGTTAGTGAGTTTGACTAGTTGATAGTATTAACTAATTGTAGAAAAATATTTGGTAAATTAGGTGTTAGTTGATAGTTGATTGCATGTAAAATAGCTTTTTCAAGAAAAAAACGATCGAAAAAGCTATTTTGAGCAGCTTTTTGAATTTTAGCATTTTGGAGCAATAAGTTATTACAAAAAGCTAATTAATCAAACTCTCATATTGATTGTTTAACTAAGTCAAACAGCTAATAATAGTCAAACAAGCCAAAGTTGGCTGATAAACTATGTTACCAAACATGGCCAAAATCTTTTTCTAAACTAAATCGGCAGAAAGGCTTTTACGGAGTATTATTTTGGAAAATGGGTCAGATTGGCTTCCCAAGTCAACTGGATAGTGCAATTGGGTCTCCTAAAAAAATGCTTCATTCAAATCCCTTAAACCAGTAAAATTATTCAATTGAGTCCAAATTGACTTGTTTAGTAAGTTAATTCTTCGTAAGTTTGACAGTGTCTTTTAGTTGTTTTTTTTTTTTAACTTTTTATTATTTATTATTTATTAAAAATTATTAAAAAAAAAAAAAACCACCGGACAGTTGTGGTTGTTCGGTATTGTCTTCCACAATCTGGAACGAGGGCGGTGGGCCGCTGCCCTCGTTTTAGATCTGGAGTGGAAGAGATTCGAATGAAGTTTTTTTTTTTTTGTACTATCTATTTTTAGAAAGCATGTTTATAATAAATGAGATAATAATTTTTCTCAATTGGAAAGAGTAAAGTATTAGGGTGTTTGATTCAATCAAGGATTTTAAACTCTTTTACCCCAAAAAAAAAAAAAAGATTTTAAACTCTATTATTAGATTTCAACTCAATTTACCTTATTTGTTTTACTTTATTTATTTATTTATTTATTTATTTATGAATGTTATTCAAATTATGAAGGAATGAAAGTGTCAAAGACCTTGTGATTGAGCAGCATAGCCGTGACTTTTTAAATGAGAGGTCTCAAGTTTAAATTTCAGAGAGCATTGACTCAAATAATATACTTTTAATATATTAAAAATTAAAAATATACTTCTTATTTATAGTTCAGACCATGATCCATAGAATAATGATTGCATTCATGTCACCCCGTTTCTTAGAATTAGAACCCTTCGAGAGGGCCTTTGTCCGAGAAGGAGAGAGTGGCCGAACAGTCAAAAGTGACAGATTATAAATATGTTAGAAATTTTTCTACATTTATTCTAATCCAACCTCTCCTACTTGTTTGATTTTAATTTCAATTATGATATCCCAGCCACTTATGAAAACTATCTCAATATTGTAAGTTTATAATTTATAAAATATAAATTATTTAGTTTTATAAATGCATAAATAAATTACAATTTAATAATTATACAAATAACTATCTCAATTGGGTTCACAAATCAGTTTGCCCAATCAATTCAAGCTATTGAATACTTTATCTAATCAGCTCCATTTTTTATACTGACTTTTAAAATTGTAAGTTTATAATTTATAAAAGGGAAAATCAACGATTTGGTCCCGCAATTGTTGACAAATTGTCAATGTAGTCTCTCAATCCCTTATTCATCTATTTGGTTCTCGAAATCAATTATTTTTAATCGATTAAACCCTTCCGGCTGTCCTCCGTCAACCAGCCGGTGAGTGGTCCAATTAAACATGGGCAATGTGGTCATTTCTTAACATTGTTGGCAAGTAAAATCGGGATAAATTTGTCAATTCATTATCTTTTTTCTTCTCATCTGACATGGAATAGAAATTCCTGGGGAAGTGGTGGTAATTAGAATTCCAAGACATGAGTGAATTGCAAATTTACAATTACCTTCAAGCAAACAAGGGAATTTTAGAAATTAAGAAATTATGTAGGAAATGAATTGAAATTTTCATATACCAAATAATCTATTTTAGTGTGAAAGTAAAAGTTAAGAATAAAAAATGCAAATTAGCCCAACATGAAAACATGTAAACTTGGGTCACGCTAACATGACACGTCACGACACACTTGACATTACCAATTGACTATAATGCCATTTTGACCTATAATGATTAACTTTATTATTTTCATGTTTAATATTCACATGGACTTTATTTTTTACTGTTCAATTTTCTTTTTAAATTGTACTTTTAGCGCTTAGATTATTTATTTATTTATTTAAATCCACCTTTTAACCTAAAGTGCCAAAAATCCTACACATTTTAAAATTCTTACTAAATTTTACTCTAGTGTATGTATATGCATTTTAAACTAAGGGCCGTTTGGAAAGTAGAGAAATGACTTCTGGAAAATGATTTTTAGAAAATGAGTCATTTTCCTGAAAATATTTTTCTTTTCTAGTGTTTGGTTGCATTTGGAAAATTATTTTGGTATGTTTGGTTTATTTTCTGGAAAATGAGTAGAATTGTGTAATTACATATTTTAATTATTTTATTTAGAATATAAAAATACATTTTATATGTTTGAAACTTAAAAATAAATAAATAAAGGTTCGGGTATCCGTTTGGTTTCCGACGGAACCCTTAAAAAAATTTAAAAAAAATGAAACAGCAATGGCGGAAGTCATTTTCCGTCGAAATGGGCACATTTTTCCCAGTCAACGGAAAATGTTTTCCGTTGATTAGATTTTCCAAGTGTTGCCAAACACCAAAAATCCGGAAAATGATTTTCAGAAATCATTTTCCGGGTTTCCAAACACAGCCTAAAAACGAAATATTTGATTTGAGTATTGGGGCAACTCCAGCCAAATTGGTTAGCCTGTTAATTTAGTAACCACAAGATCCTGAGTTTGACTCCTAGTGAAAATAGTATATTGACCTTCTTAGTTTGAGCTGACTATGGATACCTTAAGTTCGTCTACCTCATTAAGTAGCGTTTCAAAATAAGCTAGTAGCTTCCTAACTTTTTTTTTCCATCTTTGTCCTTAATAGTTTAAAGAAATGACATTCTTTACCCTTTCCAATTAAAATCTTTTTCTCTTTTCCTTTATCCGCAACTTTCACTGCAATTATTATTATTATTATTATTATTATTATTATTATTATTATTATTATTATTATTATTATATGAAGGAGACTCGCAACAATATTGCTACTTCATTATGGGATATTGGGATGCTAGAGCATGATTATGTTAATATTTTATTTCAAAATGTTAATTTTTATTTTTTTGAAGAGAAAATGTTAAAGTTTAATATGTAAACAAACTAATTTAAATTTTATGAAGATGCTCTTTTTTGTCTTTTTACATTTATCATCTTATCAAAAAGCTAATTTTACCAATCACTTTCAAGCATAACAGCTAGCTTAATAGTTCTTCCGTTTTCAGCTCCTAGCTTATAATTTTTTAGCTTTCAGCCCTTTTTAAGCTTTCAGCTACCTTTTCAGCTATGTTTGCCAAACATAGTCATTTTGTGGTCTTTTTATCGGTCATAATTATAATTCACAATGTAAGATTTACCTGATGCATATTTTCAAATAGTAACAGAGAATCAATAATAATAATATTCAAGTATCACAAATGAAATTAAATGTTCATAAATAAAATAAACTCAATAATAGTATAACACAAAAGAGCGGTGCTACATACCGTCTACATTGGTTATGGGTGAAATTAAAAAAATACATTTTGAAGAAAAGTATTATTTTTTTAAGATTACGTTTTTCTTTTGAGATTTTCCTCATTATTTCATCCAGCCCAACAGAGCATTTGAGATTCTCCTCATTCTTCCAAAAAGCATTTGAGATTCTCCTCATTCTTCCAAAAAGAAGAACCCCAACTAAACATGAACCACAGAGACTAGAGCTCACTGCGCACGAGGAGCCCCCCTCACTGACTCGATCCTTGGTCATTCTTCCAAAGTTTCACCTCTATGACCAGTTGAGCATTTGAGATTCTCCTCATACTTATATGGGTCAATTGCACTATATTTGAGATAAGATACAAGATTTGAACTTTAACAACGATAGTGTGAGAATTATGTTTAAAATGAATAGATTCTTTGTACCTATCTGTATTTGGTCTGATTTATTATGTCATTGAGTGACCGTAATTTACATCATTCTAAATGCTTTATCAAATCAAATGTAAAGAAACCTTGAGTTGAAATTTCAACATTTTGAAAGAAGATATTGTTTTACAATTTCCTCCAAAATTCCCTCTCTCTCTCACCAGTGAAGTATGATTGCGTAGTGCGGCCTTTCCCTTAACCCAATCCCACGTTTAGCTGGACCGCCATTCATGAAAACTCACTCTCTTACTCCAAACCCCCTTCCCATATCTTTCCTGTGAATCACCGCCTAATTTTCCACCTATCTTATCCTTCTCTTTCACTAAATTCTTCTCCAATTTTCACCTCTCAATTTTAAACTTTTCAACAAAAAATAACAATGTTAGATCCAGCCAATGATCTGCTTCCGCCGCCTTCATCTCCCACCAATTCTTCAATTTCTTCCTCCGATCTCGATACTGAGGTGTGGAATTGTATTATGTTCTTCGAATTTCGGTTTATTAGCTTGTATTTTGTTGTTTTTGTGTAGTGAATTTCAAATTTGAATGTGATGTGCGTGTGCAGTCTACTGGTTCGTTTTTCCATGATCGGAGTATTACCTTGGGGACGTTGATGGGAGTCACATTTCCCGCGCTGGCGTTCAGAGCTCCGTCGCAGTCTCAGCAACGGCAGGGCGCGGCGGAGGCCGCAGGAGGCGACAGCGGCGGCGCCAGGAGGAGGAGTAAGAGTGCGAAGAAGAAGAGTAGTAGAGTGGCGGCCGTCGCGGCTGCGGAGGAGGAGATGCATCGGCGCTGGCGGCGGCGGAGGTGGTGGAGGTTTTGCAGGGACGACGGCGACTCCAAGCCGGCCTCGCTGGGGGAGTTTCTCGAGGTGGAGCGGAGGTTCGGAGACGTGGCGTTTTACGGCGGCGGTGCCGCGGCGGCGGAGATTGAGGGCGTCGCGATGGAGGCGCAGCCGAGGAATGGACGGGCGCTGTTCGCCGACGGGAGAGTGTTGCCTCCGCCGGAAGCGGATGAGGAATCGACGGCCGGTGAAGCAGGGAGCGGCGGCTTGTGCCGATTCTCGGTGGTTTCGCTTTCGGGGATTTGCACTGGTGGTGCGGGATGCGTAGGATAATTAGCTTTTTGTTTTAAACACTTTTTTGCTTTAATCTTTAATGATTCACCCCATCTGCTACTTTGATTTGATATGAACTGTGATTATGATTATGGCCATTAAGTACCGTATTTATGGCCTTCTCAAATCTGAATGCCATTATGCCAATACCCAAATACATTATTATCATTTCCGCCTCATCACTTCACTCATAATCTTCCTCCAAAAAGTGAAATACCCAATCTCTAGAGCTGGACAAAGTATTCGGAAAGTTATAAATTACAGTGACCACTTTAAATATAATTCTGGCACTGTCATATCAGAAATTCAAACCTTAATTTCTTTTTTCAAATAATGACTAATAAACTCTAAATTCGTCACTTCACTCATAATCTTCACTCATTTAAGGATTGATGTTTAATAAACTAATTAAGAAAAAATAGAATAATTAATAAAAATTTGAAAAAAAAAAAAGTGAAGTAGGCATAATATAGAAGTTTTTATATTTAATTGTGTTATTTATATGCATTAAATATTTTTTAGTGGTTTTCTTCTTAAGATTATTTTCTAATGTTAATTAGATTTTAGTGAATTGATTGATTTCATCGTGATATCAATTAAAATGAAGTCACACAAAATATATTGGATTATATTGGTGTGATTAGTTTAAGTTAGATAACACTATCTATGTAATGTGAATTCAAATATATTCTTCTCTTTCATCAATGGAGGATTTCACTAGGTATACGGTGTACAATCAAATATATACAATCTCAGTCACCAAGCCAATTGCAAGATTGTCAACCGTCATTTTCACATGAGTTGATCACGGAGCCATTTCTACATGAGTAACAATCAAGCTCATTTAATTAGATTATAACATTTAAAAAAAAAAATTGGAGAACTTAGATAGATCAAGATAGAGTCCTTTTATAATTTATTTATATAGTCTATCAAATATTTTTGTTCAGATCCAAATCACCCAACAAAATTAGAAATAATTGAAATAAAAGGAAAAATGAAATCACCCAATTGAATACCACATGATCATAACCATGAACAACATTGTTTCACTCCTATGTGTAATATTTTCACTTCGGGTGTTATAAAACAATCCCATAGATTGACTTCATTTAATTCTTAGGCTTAACAATAAAGTCAAATTAATTTCACATACATACAACAAAAATTGAGTTCCAATTTTATTGAATGCATTAATTATGCTGAACGCCTAAATTTAACTCAGGAGAAAGACTCGTATACATATGCAAGCATAAACTTAGAAGAGGACAGCAAATGAGAGTTGTTCAATTGCAGACTTGCAGGCAAGGCAAGAGTACGGGAGCAGACGAGCGGTGTTTGTCAGCGAATAAAAATTTAGTAATTACGGATTTGAATTTACTTCTTTATAATAATAATAATAATAATAATAATAATAATAATAATAATAATAATAATAATTATTATTATTATTATTATTATTATTATTATTATTATTATTTGATTTGATTTTTTACCGAATCGTTTGGTATAACAAGATCCATTATTATTCGGTTGTTCAATATACTACCAGTTCAGTTTGGTTCTAGAAAACTGAACCGAATTGCTCACCCATAAACTAAGCTAAGGCGGGGGTGTATTCAATCAAGATTTTTATATACTTTCAAAGACTTTTAAAGTGATGGATTTTAAATGACTTTTGTATACTCTTTTTAAACCTTCATAGAATCTTTTAAACTTTCATAAATTTTGTACAACTCCATAAAATTATGTATGACAAACATTTATAAAATTCTAACAACTTTTTCATATTAATTAAAAAGTCTACAAAAAGTATATAAAACTCTAATGGGGTGTTTGGTTGGATGTAATTGTAATTATTTTCCTACCTTATTCCATGGCAATGCAAATTACAATGTTCGGTTGGAGAGAATTGCAATTCAATGCTTGTAAGAAAGGAAAAAGGAGAAGAAATGAAAACTATATCCTTAGTTGTTATTATTTTTAGTATTAGTATTATTAGTATTACACAATATAATGACATTTTTGTCTTTATACCACTCCTTTCCTTCTCATTCTCAATGATTATATTACTTCACCCCAAACAATGTAATTTGAATTCTTACATTATTCACATCTTATTCTTTTCTCTACCGAATTGCAATTCATTTCCTCTCAACCAAACACCCAGTAAATTGAATACACCCAAACATTACATAACTTCCATAAGATTTGAATACACCCTTACACCCAAATGTAAAACTATTTTCTTTTAGCCATAACTTGAAAAATTAAACTTAACACACACACACATAATAATAATAATACTCCGTAATAATAATAATAATAATAATAATAATAATAATAATAATAATAATAATAATAATAATAATAATGATGGACATATGTCTACATAAAATTAAAAGGAATAAGGGTCAAATAGGCCATCGAACTGCACCCAATAATACAATTAGGCCATCGAACTTTAAAAAGCTACAATTGGGTCCCTGAACTAACCAATTCTATTCAATTAGTCCAATTTGTAGGTTTTTCAAGTGGTTAGCAGGTCACCAATTTTCAAAATATTTTTTAAAAATTATTATTTAATATTAATAATTAAAATTTAAAAAAAAAAAAAAAAAAAAAAAAAAAAAAAAACAAACAAACAAACAAACAAACCAGATCGCCGGAGACGGAGAAGGTTTCTTCGTCTCCGGCTATGGAGACGAAGATAAGTTATCTTCGTCTCCATAGCCGGAGGCGAAGAAGTTATCTTCGTCTCCATGGCCGGAGACGAAGAGACTCTTCGTCTCCGGCCATGGAGACGAAGAGTTTCTTCGTCTCTGGCCGGAGACGAAGGAACCTTCTTCGTCTCCGGCCAGAGACGAAGAAGTTAACTCCGTCTCCATGGCCGGAGACGATAACTTCTTCTCTTTTTTTTTTTTCTTTTTTTTTTTTTAATTTTGAATAATTATTTTAAATAATAATTTTTAAAAAATATTTTAAATTAGAGGTGACCTGCTAACAACCTGAAAAACCTACAAATTAAACTAATTGAATAGAATTGGTTAGTTCGGGGACCTAATTGTAGCTTTTTAAAGTTCGGTGGCCTAATTGCATTATTGAGTGTAGTTCGATGACCTATTTGACCCTTATTCCAAATTAAAAATAATTATAATGTTGTAGCGAATAGCAATTAAAAATAGACATATGATTAATAAAATAGAAAAACTCAATTATATTTAAAATTTTATTATTGTTACAAACGACAACAAAATTTTGTTGCGGTTTACAGTAACATAATTTGTTAATGCGAACAACAAATTATTGTTACGGTTCGCAGCAAAAGAAATTGCTTAATGATGTTGGCATATTTTTTTTTTTAATTTTTGTTGTTGTTGTTGTTGTTGTTGTTGTGAACAGCAACAAATGTTGCTATTTGCAACAACAAATTATGTTGCTGCGAACCGCAACAAAATTTTGTTGATGTTCACAACAAAAACTTCAAATATATATATTTTTAATAAATATGTGTAAAAATAAAAAAGATAAAAATAAAAAGTATATAAATAAAATATATATATATATATATATATATATATATATATATATATACAAGTTATGAAGCATACCATATAATTTGGTAGGAATGATTCAAACAAAGAAAAAAATCTATAGAAAAAATTAAAAAGTTTGGGATGGGAGAGTTGGATTTCAACTATTCATTATATTTGTGAAGAAAAAGTCTACATAAATCATGATTTAGTAGAGCCTTTTTTTGTGTGTGTGTAAGCCACGAGCTAGGTCTTTCTTTGTCCGTTTAACAGTCCAGGTCCACCCGACAAATTCTCTTTCGCTCCGGGAGGCACAGGAGCTAGCCCAAGAAAAATTGTCACTTGTGGGAATCGAACCCGATTTAGTAGAGTCCATAAAAGTTAATAAGTTGTTAGAATACCTGTAGGCTTTTAAAACAAAAGTCTTAATCCAAGTATATTTTAATGACTTTTTAAAAATCTGAATCAAATACTAGGTGACTATTAAATAGTCTTTATAACTCGAGATCAAATACCACAATCTTTAAAAGTTTATAAAAATCTTGATTATATACACTTTTAAAAATAAAATGACACATATATATAAATTTAGGATAAAAATGAATTGGGATAAGGATAAAAATGAATTAACTGTATTTTTAAAGATAAAAATATTAGAAGGATTTATAGCTGTTATCAACACGTCATGATAGCCCCACTCATGCAGCCAGGTGTCTCCTGGAATAATGCTTCGCTTAACCTCACCTCAGTCCTCGCCCACGTCGTCTCCCATGGCGGTTCTCCCTCCCGATAAACTATTAGATTATAATATGCATTTGGAGATCCGAATCCATATTTAAAGGTCCGAATTGACAGAGATGGCGATAGTTACCGGAGACTGGTATGTCGACTCACTGGTGAAGTTCGTGGAGAGCCATGCGGAGCTGTTGATTGAAGGGACGCTAGTGCTCAAACTCAACCCTGTCGGCCTCCACTACGTGCACTCCAGGCTCGAGGCGCTGGCGGAGTTAGAAAGCTTGCTCGCCGGTGCTCCGGTGGATTACTTCCGTGCTTACGTCTCGGACCTAGGTGACCACCGCGCTCTCGAGCAGCTCCGTCGGATTCTCTGCCTCCTAACGTCGCTTAAGGTCTTCTCCGTGCTGCCGCCCCCGGCCAGGGACCCCTCGCCTCTGTCGCTGCTGCCTTTTACCAGGCTTAAGGTTCTGGAGCTAAGAGGATGTGATCTCTCGACCTCCGCCGCTCGTGGACTTCTCCAACTCAGGCAATCTTTGGAGAAATTGATTTGTCATAACTCAACTGTGAGTTCGATCTGGCGTATCAATTTTATTTTATTTTATTTTATTTTTCCTATTTGATTGGTTTGGTCTCGATTGAAGAATCAATAATTGTGCTGCACTATTCAGTATTCACATTACATTTTCATTGAAGAAACCGGAAAAGAGATAACAACTACTGAACAACCGAATGCAGAATATATAAATAAAAAGTAATCTAACATTACCATCCATTTGTTCTCCAGACTATGTTTGTTTGTAGACTTCATATTGTAATTCTCCTTTTAATGGAATTGGCTTAGGATGCATTACGGCATGTATTTGCGAGTAGAATAGCTGATATAAAGGATTCTCCACAGTGGAATCGGTTGTGGTTTGTTTCATGTGCTTGCAATGGTTTGCTTCTCATGGATGAATCCTTACATCTCCTTCCCGCTGTCGAAACACTTGATTTGAGCAGGAACAAGTTTGCTAGAGTGGATAATCTTCGAAAGTGCCCCAGATTGAAGCATCTAGATATAGGGTTTAATCACCTTAGAACTGTTGCATCATTTAGTGAGGTAAGGCACAGCCTTCTATTCTGCTAATTAATGGAGAAGTTAGAGTTAAATTATCGCAAAAATCATTTTATTAGCATGACTTGCTCATTGATGTTCATATGTTACTAGCATCTTTTGTGCTGATGAATTTAACTGGATCTGGGTAGAAAATATATGAGTAAGTCATTTGTTATGTTTAATGGTAGTACATTTGCTTCTAGTTAGTACAGGGTAGAATATTTTAAACCAATATATAGATAGTACGTATTGCTCTATGCAGGTTTCATCTCATATTGTTAAGCTTGTTTTGAGGAATAACGCTTTGACTACATTGCGTGGGATTGAGAATTTGAAATCACTTGAGGCACTTGATCTATCCAACAATATAATCTCTAGTTTCTTTGAGATAGAAATCCTTGGTGGACTGTCATCTTTGCAAAATTTATGGTTAGAAGGAAATCCTCTTTGTTGTGCAAGATGGTACAGAGCCCATGTGCTCAGCTTTTTTCCTTATCCAGACAAAGTAAGTTGTCCCACTCTCAAAGAGTCTGTTCAATTTTGTTTGTTTTTTTTTTCTTCACTTTTTTTGTTTTACTATTTTAATTTCTAATGTAAAATTAGATTAATTACTTGAGTATTAGCTATTTTAGTATGAACTAAGACTTCTTTCCTTTATTTTGCTTGTATGTATTAGTTGAAACTAGATGAAAAGAAACACACAAAAAGTGATTTATGGAAGAGGCAAATACTTATTGCCAGGAGGCAGAAACGCCCTGCTAGTTTTGGATTTTATTCATCAGCAAGAGATGATACTAAACCAGAAGGAATCATCAACACAAAAAAAGTACCCTCTTATGCTAACCAGCAGTTTACATTAACTAAGTTAATTTCTTTTCCTCATATGCCTTTAGTAACATTGAATTTCCTTTCATATAAAATTTCCAGAAAAAGGTACCCCGATTTGTTAGCATTAACGATGCAGAAGAAAGTACATGCCTGTGTTCAGATGAAGATTCAGTCTCTTTTGTTAATGAGATTCATAGCAAAGAGAAGAATGCCATTTCAGATGAAGAATCTGGAATTGTAGATTTGATGAATAGGATTGAATTTATTAAGAAAGAAAATAATGGTCTATGGTTGCAGGAGTTCAAAGATTGGATGGATTGTGACAATTGTGTTGTGGGTGTTAATGGTAAAGGGACTAATTTAAAAGCGGAGAAAGGTAAACAAAGGAAAGGAAAGATGAGAGGCAAGCAGGATGATGAGAGCTCAAGGTACATATCCAACTCTGTTCAATTTTCTGGAGAAAATGGCAATATGGAAGTTCTAGAATCTGATACTTTCTTTGCTGAATCATCCCTTAGTTTCAGTGAAAAAAAGTACACTGATCAGATAAGTGAAACAGAATCAATGGTTTTTGTGGGTCATGTTGATTTGAACTTTAACAGTATGAAAAGCACCAGAAATAACCAGGAGAATGTTAAAATTTTAAATGATGAGGAGCTTCTTTCTGGACATGCAAGAATCTCTCCTTTTGATTCTTCTGAATTCCCCTCTCAGAACAACAGTTTCACGACTATACCTTCAATTAATACTACTTTGGATGCTAGCCATGGATCACCTCCCCATTACAAGGAGGATATTTTGTATCAACGCCTCAACTTAGAAGAAGAGTTTCTCCAGCTATCTTCAGAGACATTCTCTGTAGCATCATCTGATACCGATACAAGTTCCAGTAAAGATGATTCTGCTCAGTATGGGGAATTCATATCTCCGAAGATCAATTTTTAGTTGAGGATATCTATCTCAGATATGAGTGTGCATGGATGGATTAAATTTTTCCTGCAAAATGTTCCATAAATGATGCAATTATGAAAATCTGCCTTTGAGCCAAATTCCAAGCATACCTCATCCAGCTGTATCGAGGTTCAACAAACAGATAGATCCTCAATCTATTTTATAGAAAGTTTGGTGAAGCAAGAGGAAAATTGGTTGGAGAAGAAAATACCTTAAAAGGAAATCTTCAAAGAGAATGATGTCTTCCACTACCTGAGGAAACTAATTCAAGAAGACAAGATGGAGCAAGTAAAGAAATCCAATTAAAAATCAATTAGAGATGGTGAAGATGGGATTTATTCTGTAAGCAATTTCCAGAAACTTGCTATTGGAGATAACTTGTCAAAGGACTACAATAAAAGAGCGTGGAAACTATGGAAATGAAAAATCAAACAGAGACGGTGAAGATGGGATTTATTCTATTGGGAAATTACAGAAAGCTGCTGTGGACATATAACTTGTTGAAGTGCTAGGATAAAAGTGCATGTAAATTGTTTAAGAGTCTCACGTTGAAAAAATAAGAGAGAATGTATAAGTTTATAAGATCATTGGTTGGATTCAATCTTTTAATGTGGTTTGACCCATGTGCATTATAGGACTCTAGCCCGCCCAATCTTCTAACAGAAGTAAGAGTTAATGAAACCATCCAGAAATGCAGGAGGTGCCATTGTTTGCTCCAGGAACAGTCTAAGTGCATTGACAGGTAATGCTTCAACTACAACACTTTCTTTAGAATATTTAAAATTAATGATCAAAATGATGTGCCTGTTTTAACTTTTAACAGTAAACTCAAGTTAATGAGCACTCTTCTTAAAGTTTTGAATATGTAAAATTTGTTATCAAGCTCTAGTGAGCAGTTTATTATGGCATCTATATTTGAAACAGTAATATATGGCTTTATTACCTGCTTAAAATTTACTTTTGGTAGCATTAGCTATGTTATCACATGCATTTTAGTATTTATGCGAGATATATTTCCTGATCTCAATGGACATTAGTTGGTCCTTTAGGCTTTTTGGAGCTTGGTGTGGAGTATCAATCAATCATACAGGTTTGGTAATTAAACCCAATGATCATTTTATGCCTGTTTCTAAATGATTCAAATCTTTACTAGGTTTATTTAGGCCCTTTTACATCCTGTTTGTACTGTTGACAATAAACGTGTATATAGAAATTTCTTCTTTATTTTTTTAGTTCATTTTTTACCAACAAAACAATCCTAACTAAAAGTCAAAATCTCTTATGAGAACGTTTCACGGATCTTTATTTGTGAGACATGTCGGATTTTGCTATAAATATTGCATTTTTCCTCATAAGTATTACAATTTTCTTCATAAGTAATTCTTAAATCCTAATATTACATTAATTTAAAAGTATTACATTTTTTATAAAAAAAAAAAAATCCAAGTATTACACTTTCTCTCATGAGTACTAATTAATCAATTTATTTTGAAAAGTATTACATTTTTTTCTCGTAACTCTTCAACCCCTTAATATTACATTTTTTTTTAATTATATTTAAAAGTATTACATTTTTTCATAAAACTATTACATTTTTTCTTTATACGTAACAAATAATTTATTCATGAATAGTATTACATTTTTCAACATAAATATTACATAAGACGATCTGACAAGAGAGTCTGTCACACTTACTAAAAATTTAATTAGTAGTTAATTCAAGTATATTTAATTCCTATATAATCGACTAAATGATTGGTAGGATAGGAACCTTTGCTTCTACTTTATATTTAGTATCACTGCCTCACAGCAGGTCCCTTGCTTCTGTGTTTATGTTCAGGGCAAAGAACTGACCACTAAGCTAAGAGGAAAAAGGCGTTTCACAGATGCAGTACCAATCAGCCAAGAGAAGCCAAGTCTCTGGTCTCTTGATATGGCTCTCAAAGATACTAGCTTAGTAACAAAATGCAGTATAATAATATAAATAAGGGTCTAAAACAAGACCCAAGTACCATGTAACCGTTTTCTTTAACAAGAAGCGGAATAAACTTGTTTCTAACAAACCACATTAAACAGAAATTAATGTAAATAAAAATTATTGTACCTTTCAAAAAAAAAAAAATTATTGTACACTGTATAATGATAATTTATGTAACACATTTCATTCCATTCGTTGGGTCTGAGCTAATTATCCTCCGGTTAAGAGAACCATCTTGGAAGATTATTTCTGTTCAATTTAGTTGAGAATACATTTGTCCAAACTAATAAATAAAAACTAAAAGCAGAATACCATCAGTCAGACCAAAGTTAGAACTAATTAAGTACGGAGTAATTATTCTTATAATACTTTTGTATGTATTTAAGATATGCAATGAATGGGGATTATTTATAATAATAAAAAAAAAAATTACATTAAACGTCTGATGAAAATTTGACAATGACCAATTTAGCAGGCCATATGAAGTTGTAAAAGCTAACAAAAATGAAGGCTTGCATTATCTGTCTGAAGTTGGGTAAAATTGAAACAGAATCTTAAAAACGGAGAACAAATACCACAATGTAGTAGTCTTTTCTTCACCCATCAAAGTTTTCACTTTTCAGCAATGTCACCACTTCCAAACAATTTGGATCTCGGTAGCATCTCAATGAATGCAATGCTGGTTATTTGGAGTGGCAAATATAGAACAGGATCCGAGTTCTCTACCTGACTGCTTACTGCTTAGACAGAAAAACATCTATTGCTGAAAGATATAAGGGATTTACTTGTGAATCATGAATGTCAGTGTTCCCCTTTGGGATTGCTATCTATGCCCTTTCTTTGGCTTAAGTCTTTTAAAAGCCATGAATGTCACTGCAGCTGACAGAGAATACCTGCACAATAATTTTAAAATGACAATAAGGTTTTTAAGGTAACACTCCTAGAATACATACACACACACACACACACACACACACACACATATATATATATATAGGGGCAGGATCAAATGAGAACCACTAGTCCGGTGCGAATGTGTAAACCGCACAATCTGACATTATAAGATGCACAATCGTAAATTTTAGGGTGTGTTTGGTTGATGGGTTTTGCCCATAAGAATGAGTATGAAAGTGATTGTTATTGTTTGGTTGATAGGTTTTTAGAACACTACTATGGGTTTCGAATACCCCATGAATTGAAAAACTCATACCCAAATAAAATAAGGGTTTCATTCCCTTATTCATTCTCAAGCACTACTATTAGTAACCATTCTCATTCCACCCTACTACCAAACATGTTAAATACTTTCACCAAAACCCATTACCATTACCAAGTATTTGATATCCATTCCGATTCCGATTCCGATTCCGATTCTCATGTGCGAACCAAACACACCCTTAAAGATGCACAATCCAAATTACAAAAGTAATTACAGAAATGCGTGTTTCCAAGATGCACAATCACTTATCCACGAATGCACAATCAGGCATTACATTATGCACAAAAGGCCGAAAGGGGGTTTGCACGTTCCTATAGGAAAAGTGGTTCTCATTTGATCTTGCCCCTATATATATATATATATCTTCATAATTTCACCTAAGAAAACCTAAACAGAATCATATAGTAATCTATATATATATATATATATATATATATATATATATATATATATATATATATATATATATATATATATATAGTTTATGTTCTTCATAATTTCACCTAAGAAAACCTAAACAGAATCATATAGTAATCTAATATCAAATCCGCAACTAGCAAGAACAAGCAAGAACAAGCTATCACTTCAGCTCTACCTGCACTTCCCATACTGCAAGCCGTAGCCGATGTGGCAAACTGGCAATTCAAAATAGGCACATGGTATTCAAACTAAATCTACCTCATTATCCATTAACAAAGTATTAGAACCAAGACACATCCAAAGTTTTCACAACAGCCAATTCCCACGACCATTCATTTCACTTTTATCATTATATGTTTACTTCATATGCCAAAGTAATGAAAGTATAGAGGATTTAGCATTCACTTCACTCTCATTATATGTTTGGTTCTCCGTATACCCAAGTAAGAATGCAGCAAAACCTCTTTATCACAGTCAGTTAAAACTGCTAAATCAATGAAGAATTGAATAGTAGTAATTAGGGCATACTAGGATGGTGAAGTAAAAGGACAATTTGACATTAACCAGATTATAATAGAAAAAACATTAGGATAAGAAAGAAAATTATATGCAATAGTGTAGAAAGCATTAAGGAATAGGGAATACCATGTCAACATGTAGTTAAGATGGTCTTGAGGCATTACGGAACTGCTAATTAATGTATTTAAATCCTTTGGAACTGGGTATGGATTGCTGGGATCAACATTATCATTGACGTCTTCAATGTAGAGTGTGGTCTCGGGAAACCCACAAGCACGCGCAATTGCAGGAACATCAACATAAAACCACTGGTAGGAACTTGGATCATTTGCCGGAACGAATATGCTAGGCTTTTCACTTCCTCGAACAACTCCAACAACTTCTACAGGAGCTACTACAGAAGGAACTTCTTCCTGTTGATTGAACACAAGGCACTATTATCTAGAGTTCATATCATATGTCAGTATTTACAAGGCCACCAAAAGTATAGCAATAAAAAACCTCTATATACTTGGGTTTCTTTGACCAAAATCTCCACCAGGAACTTTTTTCATTTTCTGGAATGGACGAGGATATTGGAGTTGAAGACTGTTTATCATTTTCTGACACTTGTAGAGACTTGTCCCTCCAACTGCGTGGTACCCATCCTCTATTGACGAGAATTGGCGATTGGGTGCTGATCAATGAATTTTTAAATTCATTTAGATACAGAAAATGATATGCAGGAAAAAAAATTAATCTCATGCTCTCATTTTTTTGTTCTTTTTTTTTTTTTTTTTTTTTTTTTTTTTTTTTTAAATTTTTGTGTAATAAAGAAAGATAAGAGGCCATATTATACAGAATTCAGAGATTTGATATATGAAACGATATGAATAATTAGAAGAGGATTGATTACAAGAACTACTGATACTCCATATTTATTCCTCATTTTGACCATGCTTGAAAAATAAATACAGAAACAGTACAGAACAAAAATTTCACACTCAAGAAGCTATGGTCCATCACTTCTTTGTTTTAGAAATATATTATGGCCCTGTCTGATAACATAGTTAGCTTATCAGGCAATTTTGGCTTATTTGACCACTATTAGTTGTTTGACTTGGTTAAACATTCAATATAAGTGTTTGATTAATTAGCTTTTTGTAATAACTTATTGCTCCGAAATGCTAAAATTCCAAAAACTGCTCAAAGCAGCTTTTTCAATTAGCTTTTTGAGAAAGTCGTTTTGTATGTAATCAGCTATTAGCTATCAGCTAACAACTAATTTACCAAACATCTTTTTACAATAAGCTAATGCTATCAACTACTCAAACCCACTAACCTAATCAGCTAACAGCTATTTACCAAACACCCCCTATATCATCTTCAAGATTATACTAATCCAGTCAACCTTACATCAGTTGCTTGCTCTGCCTTCAATATCTAGATGAGAAGAATATTCGGTCATATGTGGGTTCAAGAGAACAATCCTAAAAGAAAGAAAGTTACTCAAAAGACACAGAAAGAACTAGTTTGTGATATACCACTCAAATACAGGGAGCTAATTACCCAGAACCACAGCTGACTCTAAGCAGTTTATACAAGAAGGGAAAGCAAGAAACATGAATTCACAACAACTACCTCAAGAATGGAAAACCAAAATTCTATATGTTGCACTCTACCTCTCTGGGTCATCAGAGACTGGCTCAAGAGGAGTAATAATGTAGTAGCCATTTTCTGTCACCCCTGAAATGCTTCTAGAACGGGGGCCAACATAGACAGACTTCTCCTCATTGAAAACCCCTCTACATAGCACCTTCCTGAACTCCAGGTTATTAAGATCTTCACTAGAATGTGTAGCCTCATTACATTTTAGAGGTTCCATTTCCAATCTATTTTGTCTGTACTCCAGCATCTCAACCTATAAGAATGGCAATAACACATCAGCAAATATCAAACTCCATTTCCTCTAAACACAGGCAATTGAGTATCAAGTAGAACAATCGCGGCGGAGGATATTAGTATTGTATCAAATAGCAATCAAAAGTTTGAAACAAAGGATCTATATATATATATATATATATATATATATATATATATATATATATATATATATATATATATATATATATATAGACATTACAAGTTGTACAATCCTAATTTCAAATTAATTACAAAAATGACACCGCATTTTTTTAGAAATTACTTTCCAGTGTGCTTTGATAGTAGTTTTTCAAGTGCACAATCAGTCATTACAAATTGCACATTGCACAAAATAGTTCGCAGGTACATACTGGAAGACCGATTCTCATTTGATACTGATTCTATATATATGCCAATAGAAGTTGTATGAAGAAGCATGAAATTGGAACGACCTTTTCTCGTCTTCTGAAGATTTGCCAGGTGCCAAGACCAAATGTGATAGCTCCAGGTACGAAAAGAAAAATCTTGGACCATGTTGACCGATCATTCTCTGATCAGAGCATCAATGAAAAAAAAAACTGCCAGATCAATAGCTTAAGAAAACGATTAAACCTGAGATCTTTTGTTCCAAAATTAATACACTCCGCGTACATATATACGCAAACTTGCCTGAAGGTTGATTCTGAGAGACACTGGAGACAGCAGGCGCAGCGGTTGAGAAGGGAGAAGAGTGTGGGAGGTGAGGAGCCCACTTGAAGGATACGGCTGAGCCGCCACCTGCACGGAGGAGGATTCTCGTTACACTTCTGGAGACGGCGGTGGCCATGATGATGAAACTGGCATTTGAAACGTCGTCGTTGTATAGCCAGTGTCGATCGAAAATTCGAAATTGGAGCAAAACTTTTGGGGTGTGAGACCTGAGAGGGCTTAAGCGCAAAAGTGAAGTGAAGAGGGTTTTGCGGTAATTATCCCCTGCGGAGGAGTGCACGGGCAAACGGTCCAACACCTTGCAATGACGGATCCTACTCTAAGATTGCAATTATATCGTGGAACATAGTCCAAAAACGATGCCGTTTCTTTAAGTAAAGAAACGGCAGCTTTTGTAAGTAAAGACACGGCAGCTGTTACAGCTTAATGGAATGTGTATTTTTGGTATGTTAATTACTAAATGAAATTACAGTATATTTAAATTGACACTACAATTCTGCTCTGGATAATTGTTATGCTGGTTGTGTCCTCAAGGATTATTTCAATCTTAAATGACAGTTTGATTATGTGTCGTTTCGCTTTATTCATAGATCAGCGAATGAGCTTGCTCATGCGTTGGCAAGGGAAGCTTCTTCTCAGTCTGGTCCTCGTAGTTGGTTTTCAGTATATCCTTCATGTATTCAACAGTTAATTTCTTATAACTAATATATTTGTTTTTTAGCTTTCAAAAAAAAAAAAAAACTGACATTGCCTCACGTATTATTTTTATATTATCAAATGAAACTGCAATTGAATTGAAATGAAGTTATAGTTGTATTGAAATGAAACTACAGTGTATACAAAATGAAACAAAATAACAATTTCACATATTTGAGTGTATATTGTCCAGCAAAATTGTAGTTATATCAAAATGATACTGTAGTTGTGTTGAAATTAAACTGTAGTGTATATAAATGAAACTGAATAACATTTCACATATTTGAGTGTATATTGTGCAATTAAAATGTAGTTATATCGAAATGATAATGTAGTTGTGTTGTAATGAAAGTATAGTGTATATAAAATAAAACTGAATAACAGTTTCATATATTTGAGTACAATTTCGCATATTTGAGTGTATAATATCGAATGAAACTGTAGTTATATCGAAATGAAACTGTAGTTGTGTTGAAATGAAACTACAATGTATACAAAATGAAACTGAATATGTTATACAATCAAAGTTAGTTTTAGCGGACGGCACGAAACGGTGCGGAACAGGTGGTTTCTTTTCATTAACAGCATGTTTGGTTCACGGAATAAATTTTGAGGTAATAGGAATGCTATTCCATAAGGAATAGAATAAGAATTGTTTTCTATTGTTTGGTTCGCGGAAGGAATAGACTTTAGGAATTATATTACAGTGTTTGGTTGGTTTAAGGAATAGAAATGATATATGTCTTAAAAGACATAAATACCCTTATAAAAATATGTGGTGGTGGCGGCGATGGTGATGGTGGCGATGTCGGTGGTGGTGGTGGTAGTGGTGGCGGTAGCGGTGGCAGTGGTGGTGGTAGTGGTAGTGGTGGTGGCGGTGGTAGTGGTAGTAGTGGTGGCGGCGGTGGTGGAGATGGTGGTGGCGATGGTGATATATATATATATATATATATATATATATATATATATATATATATATATATATATATATATATATATATATACACACACACACACACACACACACACACACACACACAAAAGGGTGTTTTCGGTATTAGACTACAAAAGCTATTCCCGAATACTTGGGAATAGCTAATACCAGGGGTCCCCTAGGAATAATTATTCCCCCTGCAAAGGGAATAGCTCATTCCAGGGAATGCTATTCCCAACCACGAAAAGACAAACCAAACAATAGAATAGGTATATTCTCGGGAATGGTATTCCATTCCCGACCTATTCCATAAACCAAAGACACTGTAAAAGAAACGACACTGTTGTGATGTTTGGACTAAAATGCATTGTGGATCGCGGTCCACAATATAATTTGCCAGTCTAAGAGCATTCCCATTAGGGGATTTAGGACCAGTTTTTGAGGAGGAATAAGTGAGGTGGAGGAGAGAGAGGGAAGAGAGAGAGAGAGTATATGGGGTTATTGCAGGAGGATGGAGTTTTTTGGTCTCCTTGAGTGGGCCCCACAATAAAAAAAAAAAAAAAAAAAAAGAGCAGGTGCAGTCACCTTGTGTGGAGTGCACTTTTGCGCCCAGACAGGCGCGTGTACTACACGCGCTCATTGGGCGCGTTTAGCGACTTTTTTTATTTTTCTTTTGTTGACATTTTTTTTTTTGTTTTTACCTCCATTCCCTCATTTTCTCTTTCCTAATCACACCTATAAAAACTCCTAAAAACACACAAAAAACCCCACTATTGAGGATATAATATGATCAATAGTGTCCAAGACTATTGGCGTGCCCTTCATGCACTCGGCAGCCTCGGAGGCTATAGCCACTAGCCTCCGCATGTGTCCCCTACAATTTCCTATAAATACCCAGTTAGATAATTGTAGGGGAGCCTTTAGCTCTTTATCTCTCTAGAATACATGTCGACTCGGGAACACCTACGGTCCCATCTACTCGAGCCCCAACGTCCAAATACACATTATTTAATAACACATATTCATATGTATATCCAGTAGAATTTACCACATCAGTTAGGCACCGTTTGTGGGGACCGAAAACCCAGTCGTGACGGGGAGGAAAGTTTCGAGCGTGCAGTGTTCGACCTCCACTCTCAATTGCCTCTTCGACTCGGACGCTGCAAGTCGGATCATCCACTCCCAATTCAGTCAACTTTGACACTACCAATGTAGGTGAAGTTTACCCATTCTCCCAGAGCCTAGTGGTAAATCCTTTTATGCTCAGCTCGGTTCCCGGATGGGACTTCGCCTCTCTAAGGTGGGGGCACCCACCTCCAAACCCTTTCACGGTGGACTCATTTCCATATCAACCCATGTTCCAACCACACCCGTGTGTGTGGTCTTCCCGATCTTCCCAAGAATGCCGTTGGCATCGACACCAATAGGCGTTATAAGACAACAAAACTTAAGTCACTCGAGCAAGTTAGCCGACCAGTCCAAGTCCGACCAAATTCAAGCGCGGAGAATCTTCACAACCATGATCCCCGGCTGTCCATTCAACATCAGCTAGGACCACGTCTTTAGTCGTGGAATCACAATGAACGATCTGCTGAGAGCCTCTAGGAGGTTGTAGAGCACGATGATAAATCAACCTAGCGGTGTCGTTGGAATCCATGTGTTGAAAACCGGCGTCGAAGGTAGACATCAAATAACTCTGACCCTTTCGATCTACCGACCAGTTACTGATTAAGTCCAGCTCGGAAACTTAAACTCATGTAATATCTTGTATGTAGGACATTTTCTAGTACATGCAGCTCAATGTATTATGTTTTATTGCAATGTAATAAGATCAATAGGCTTATTTCAGACCCCCTGATTACTCGAACACTGGTTTCGGTAGAGGCAAAGGAAAACCCAATCTTTAGATCGGCGCACAACCCGACCAAAGGTCAGTATAAGCCGTTCTCTAGGCAGCACCAAGCTCGATCCATAGATCATGAATAAATCCAATCTCTTAGTTGGTAAAATCTGATCTCTAGATCACAAATTAAGTCGGGATCATATCTCAACGGCAAGCCATACGAAGTAGGTAATTAATCCCGATTAGGTCGATATTGCCACCACCGGCCTTATAAGCCCTATAAAGTAGGCAATTAAGCTCGGCTAGATTGGTTATCCCACCACCAACAACGTTTGATCGGTCAGAATACCGAGCACCTAAACAAAGACTGTAGGGGAGAAGCGTTCTCATTAACGATCACAAGATCCGTAAAAAGAACGATCCCTAGACTGAGCGCCTGAACAAGGGCATCAGAGGGGAAGCGTCCTCATCAATGATCAGTAGATCAACACAAATATCCTGAGCAAAGACTCAGTAGGGATGAAGAAAATCCGAGCAGAAGGAATGATCACTGGATCACATATTCCTGATCTGTAGATCGGAGGACGAATCCGACCACAGGTCGGTATAATCCGGTCCTTAGACCGCGAAAATGTCTGATCCTTAGATCGGCGCATAACCGACCGTAAACTACGATAGAAGCCAGTCGCTAGGCTACGATAAACCCGATCCACATATCGGTAACAAATTCGATCCCTAGACTACAGCCGATCCGACCATAAATGTCGGTAGTAGGTGGCTTCTAGACCACGAGGAAACCTATGTTGTGCAATTCATAATTGCACTTTCCTATAGCCGCCACAATGCGTAATTGGTGTGAGTGAATTTATATTAAGTGGTTGTCTTTAACAGTAATTGTGCATTTCATGTGTATATGATAGCTTGAGTATTAATTGTGTATTTGATGGGTAAATGTGAATTTATATGGTGTAATGGACTGAATGCTCGTGTGTGTATGAGCGAGCAAAATATCAGCACAGAAGATCTTCGAATGTACACTATTAATTTTGCATTGCACTGGCAATTTGCTGAAGTTACTAATTCCCTTTTTTTTTTTTTTTGGTGCTTCCCTTCTGAGGGTTCACAAAGGGTTTAGGGTACTTGTACAATATTATACTAATTATAGGGCACACAAATATACAAGATTGTGAATTACATAAACATAAATCTTTGCAATATTAGGTTGCTATATCTAACATACTCCTCATGTACATACCTCAAAGGAGGAATGCTCCTAATCCTTTATCCTTAGTAGTTTGTGTATACCATTTTTTGTAAAGTTTTTATTTATGAAAAAAAAAAGTTGGCATATTTTAGTTAGAGTTAATTCCAGCAATGGTTCTCCGACTATTGTGATTTTTCAAAATTGGTTATCATCTTTTAATTTGGACAAAATAGACCCTTGACTATCAAATTTGTTCCACCATTAGTCCTTCTGTTAACTGTTAGTTAGATAGGTGTCAAGTGAAGGGCTAAAAAGGTCATTTCATCATCGGATTGCTTTCTTCTTCCTATGCTGGTGAGTATTTGTATCTATTTCAGGCACATGACCAAACCCAAACCCAGCAAGATAATTAGGTGAGTGATTACTGTTAAACTTGCAGTACCGATTCAAATCTTTATCTACGTTCTTCTTTCTATAAACCTTTGGAAAGAACCTTTCCAAGAATGTGTCCATGGATGTCATCAACAACAAAGAAACGACATTATGAATTGTCAAAAATAGTTTTCCTCTCTCCCGATCCCGGACAATCT